GATATCACAGTGTAATATATATATATATATATTACACTGTGATATCACTCAGTCTTTATTCTGTCTCATTTGTAGTCACCAAAATATGTAGCCCAGTACTTTTTAAAATCTATATATAGCTCACTTCCTTTTACGTTTCCACTGCTGAACGCCGTCAGAACTAGGAAGCTAACAGATTGTTGTGCTGAGCAGGGCGGAACAAACCCAATGTTTAGGGAAGGGGAGTTCCAGAATGTGTCAATAATTTTTAATATTTTTTGTTAATAATGTACAAAGTAAATTTAGGACGAATAAACACTACCTGCTTTTGTCTTGTTGCTGAGAGGGATAACAAGTTTGCACTCCCGCTTGCCAACCAGACGTCTACGCTCTGATTGACAACCGAGAGTCACCAATTAATCCAACATGCATGTTTTTAAACTGTGGCAGGAAACGGAAGTACCTGGAGAAAACTCAGGCATGCATGGTGAGAACATCTTCGTACAGGTGTCAAACCTGCAACCTTCATGCAGCAATGCAACATAAACTGTTCCACCATGCAGCACATTTCATGTTAATATGTTGCTAAATGTTAAATCACAGATTTCTTTAGAGAAAAAGCATCTACCTAGACCTTTATGGAATTCTGTTTGCGTAAGGAAACAAATATTTACTAAAATGATTAACTTAAATGAGTTATCCTGATTAACAAAATACTATTTTTCAGTTTAAAATGGTGTTGAAATAAATGACAAATCATAAAATTGGTTTACTGCAGTTTATTTCGTTACACAATGTTTATCACACATTCTGGTTTGCATTCATGGGTTCATGTTATCTCTTAATCAGCAAACATTTTAAACAACATACCAAGCTACTGAGTCAGAAGAGCTGCTTTAAAAAAACATCACTTCAAACAATTACGATTACAGACTAGAATAACAGAGTAAACGTACAAAAAAAAAAATATATATATATATATATATATATATATAGTAGAGGTGTTGCAATGTATTGACAAAAACATTATTAGTGCTTTGAGATTTTATTATACATAAGATAATAAACAAGGAAAAACAAAGTTTATATTTTTTTGCCAAATCACCTGAATTAAATGACCCAAACCAGAACAGCTGATGCTTCATTTGTCAAAGCTGCAAACAGAAAACTCATTTCAAAATGTTTTAATTTTAAATTTCAAGTTTTAATTTAATGAAGAGAAATAAAAGCCCTAAAACCAGATGACTGATGTATAGGATTTTAAATTAACTTAATTTATCACAATCATCACAGAAACATTTTTTTAAACTATTTAACAGAAACTAATTTTACTAAGAAGAAAAGTTTATTAAAGTTAAATAACGATGTCAAGAAGTTTTTTTTTTTTTTTTGTTAACACAGAGTCACACAAACCCTACAAAAAGTTCTATACTCGTGCAGAATAGTCAAAATACACAGAACTACTGTTTAAAAATGTCACAACATGAATAATGAAATTGTGTTCACATATGTTTAAATGGTTTAAAATATCAGAAACAAATGGAAGATGGCTCCTTTATTCCATCTTCAAAGATATCTTTACATTTCTCAGGAAAGGAAACATGTAAAATACAGCTGTACCATTGGGAAAACTAAACCAGAAAAAAGTGCCAAGTCATAAAAAACAATGTTCATCAAGTTAATATGATTATACCTTTTTCAATAGAGTGCATTGTTTTACCTATACAATCTAGATCTTCTACAAATCCTACTCGAGGTTTTTTCTTCTCAGGACCGTCCGCTGAGCATCTTCTGTCAAACTGCAGCCTAAGTGAACTTGCACACTTTAGCAGATGCTCCATCTGAAAGCCAGAGTCCAACATAGAGCGGCTTAGTGAACGTGGTCTGGACTCTGTGGAGGAGATTCATGGTTTCGCTGACGCTGTAGAAAGTCAGAACGCCTGCTTTGTGATCCAGGTACACTCCGATTCTGGAGGACCAAATGCCGGGGATG